ACTTTCAGGGTCTTAATGACCCATCCATGTAGGGGGAGAGATTTTCTGACCCAGAAGACTACAGCTTCACCCACAGATCCTCCCTCTTGTCACTCATCCCACAAGAGCATTCAGTCACATGTTCAGTGTCTACATTTGCTACCAGAAGGTCCTCTCCAAGGAGACAGGGGCTGGTCACTTCTGTGGCCCCAAGGACTGCAAGACCTGGCACACAGTAGGTTCTCAATAAGCACACCTTGTGACCCAGCTTACATAGACTCCATCTCCACTCTGCTCATTCAGAGTTCCTTGCATTTGACCTCCGTTGGCATCTCCACCCCAAATAGGTAGACAGAGTGATGGAGAAGAAGCAGTTCAAGACACATGCCAGAGTGATTATCCTTTTAATTTACTTTAACCATTGAGAACCTTCTTTTCTCTCTTTGCCCAAACTATCATTGCTTAGGGATCAGGTAGGAAATGAGACATTGTAGAGAATGTTTTAACTGGGTCCAGAGGACAACCCAACACCTTCATCCCAGCAGTCTGTCTGTCTGGTCTGATCTGTCTTTTTTCTTTAGAGTTAAAAATGTATTTTACAAATTCTTGGGTTTTTTTCTAGTTCTACTTGAATATATACATAAAATCATTATGAAATTAGCTATCCATTCTTCATAAAGTGCAAATATGATTTTCCGGGGATTTTCTTTTTATCAGTGTGGTACCTATGATATTTCAAAACTCCATCAAAAGATTTCCCCCTCTTTAAGTCTTATTTTGAGATAGGTTAATGTGCTACCCAAAAGTATACTTTTTTCCTGTCCCTGAAAGTTTCCGGTTCTTTCTAGCTTTCACAGATGCAATCATCCTAACACTCTTAATATCCTGTTTTCTAATAATTATGGATGTGAATTAATGTTAAAAAGAACAAGTAATGATTCACTCTGCTTAACTGATTGTCCACGTGTATGGGTGGGTCATTATTGCAACACAGAATGTCTACACTCCAGATCCCTAGAAGAAAACAAAATCTTAAACTCTTTGTTTCTGAATTATACATCTGATCTGGAGTAATGATCTTTATGGAAGACTCTATGAAAAGGATGCAATCTGTCCTTTTCTCTAGATTCCTGGTCTGCTGACAGACCTTGGAGATTTCCAGAGCCTGGCAATCATGCAAGAAAAAGGCTCAACGAGGCGTTGGAGAGGACTGGAGGGAAATTGAGGACTTGATGGTACTTTTCGCAGGTTTGTATCTGTTGCCTAAGACAGGGTGGGAGGAGTATCTTCTAAAGGTTCCTTTCAGTCTGTTTTACCTTGGAAAATCCCACACACTGTTGGGTAAGCCTTCTAAAGCCACAGCAACAAAGTAACATAAGCATCTTAAAAGCCAGAGAAGTATGCCCATGTTCATAGCAGCATTGTTCACAATAGCCAAAAGGTGGAAACGACCCATATGTCCATTGATGAATGGATAAACAAAATGTGGTCTATTCATACAATGGCATATTATTTAGCCCTAAAAAATAAGGAAATTCTGACACCTGCTACAACATGGATGACCTCAAGAACATTATATTCAATGAAGTAAGTCAGACATAAAAATATAAGTGGGAAAAAGAAAGACAAATACTGTATGATTCCACTTATATGAGATCCCTAAAGAAGTCAAATCCATAGAGACAGAAAGTAGATGGTAGGGACAGGGTGCTGGAGGAGGGGATGGGGAGTGAGTGTTTAATGGGGACAGTGTTCCAGTTTGGCAAGATGAAGAAGTTCTGGAGACGGATGGTGGGGATGGTTGCACAACAATTGACTGTACTTAGTGTCACTGAGCTGTGCGTTTTAAACAGTTAAGATGGTAAACTTTATGTTATATATATTTTATCACAATCAAAGAAATTGAAGGGGCAAAAAGCCAGAGCTGAGTTGTACTGGATAGACAAGAGTGTAGCTTCAAAAAAACAGTCATTTCTTGTCATCTGTGACCAGGACAAGACAATGCATTCCTTGGTGCCAAAAGAATTGATGCTTTCAGACTGCAGTGCTGGAGAAGACTCTTCAGAGTTCTTTGGACAGCAAGGAGATCAAACCAGTCAATCCTAATGGAAATCAACCCTGATTATTCACTGGAAGGACTGACGCTGAAGCTGAAGCTCCAGTACTTTGGCCACCTAATGTGAAGAGCTGACTCATTGGAAAAGACCCTGATGCTGGGAAAGATTGAGGGCAGGAGAAAGGGGTGACAGAGGATGAGATGGTTGGATGGCATCACTAACTGAATTTGAGCACACTCTGGGAGACAGTGGAGGACGGGGAAGGCTGGCATGCTGCAGCCCATGAGGCTGCAAGGAGTCAGACACGATTTGATGACTAACAGAGGACCCCACCACAGGGTTATGAACCAGGAGCAAACACTGCTTCCATATGCCAGGAACCGGTACCTGGCACAGGGCTCAGCTTCTCAGCTGCAACCTTATATGCAAAGCCACGCCTTCTCTGGTGATGAAACCCCCAGAGTAGAAAAACAAGCCTTGTTCTCCAAAGCACAAGATTAAAAACAAAACCTACTCAAAACATCACGGACATTTTTGCAGATAATACCATCCTGGATATTTTGACTAAAATGGGCACAGAAATAAATCCACAGAGGAATGTCTTAAATTATATCTCAAGACGTGTGAGTATGGAGCAAAAATAAGAAACTGATTTTGGAGCATTGGGATAAAAGTGTTCACTGTTTTCCCCCAATGCCCCAGCTACTAGTAAGCTCCCCACCTCTAAACAGAGCAGGCAGCCCTGCCCCCCAAAAACACACACAGAGATGCTATTTTTGTATCTCAGATGTGGTGCAAACTCCAGCCATCTTTTATTAGCTGTGTGGCCTTAGGCAGGTTAAAAACCTCTCTGGTCTCTAAAACAAGGATAACAGAATTCCCGTTGCAGCTGTGTGTCCTTGTAACATGGTAGGGCCTACACGGCCTCTCCTCTCCTCACCATCAAAGAAGGTAACCCCCTTACCTCCAAATTCACCAGGATATTCACTCCCACCCAGATTATTCAACCCCACCACCACCTCAGAAATCTCCCCGTTCTTCTGTGAAATTCCAAACCCATGGGTGGTCCTCTACTTCTGCCAAGACTTTGCCCCAGTTTTGATCTTTCTTCTTGATCACAGCTTGGCTTCTCTGTGTCCCTGACCTACCGACGTTCTCAAGATTCTTCCACGACATAACAACCATTGTTCCCTCCTCCATCCACAAACCACCAGATTCTCCCTCCCCTCACTGGCCAAACTCTCAAAAAAGAGGTATCTGCTCTCTTACCTCCTGTTTTCTCACATTCAACATCTCCATCCATGATGACTCCTTCCTGGAGCTTGAAGGACCCCTCCCTGCTGAGTCTATGGATTCTACTCAGGTCTGACTTCTCCATAGCTGTGTGGCTTCTCCATAGCTTTGGGCTCAGGTGAGAAAACCCTCCTTTCTCCCTTCCCTTATCTTTTGTGATAAAATCGTTAAGCCACCCACTCACTTTCTCCTGCCTCCATCTCACATTTGCTAATTCTTCCCAGGGAATTTCACAGCATGTGAAAGAGTCAATAAAACAATAAACAATTAACAAGTTTGTGTTGGGAACTAGCTTTCTTGGATATTAAAACATTATAAAACTACATGGATTAGAACAGTAATAACTTCAGCACGTGGAAAGGCAGACATACAAACTCAGAAACAAACCCTCAAATCAATGATGAAGGGGTAAATTTCTGCAATAAATGGCCTTGAGCCCCCAACTAATTATTTGGGGGGAAATGGATACCCTTGACAAATTTTTTAATGATAATAATTAAAGTTAAGAGAAAACTTGGAGGAAAAACACTTTCATTTTATGGATAGAAAGGGACTTTCTAAGCATAAAATAATATGAGATGCATGCAAAAACTCAGGTCTGAACTCCATAAACATTTTAAGCTTCTCTGGCAATGGACAGCCAGAGTATTTTCATCACTGAACAAAAACATCTGAAAATGTAATTGGCAAAAAGTTAACAGTCTTTGCTACGAAAACCACACGCAGATTAATATTTCAAAAACCACTAAGGCACTGAAAGACAAATGGACAAAGGATATGAACAGGAAGAAAAAACCTAAATGATAAATAAACATGTTTTAAAAGGCTCAATCCTGATAGCAATCAAAGAAATGCAAATAGAAACAATGACAACACACCAGCTCCTCCCTCCAGTAAATTATGAAAGATTTTTCAAACAACACTCCAAGCTAGCCAAGGTGTTCCCTCTCAGCCAGCGCTAGGAGGAGTGCCCATTGGTACAACATTTCCGGAAAGCCATTTGGCAATCAATATCAAGAAACTTTGACCCAGAAATTTCACTTCTGGAAAACCAAAACCTGAAGGGGGGAAAAAATGCTCAATAAAGCTTCCACACCAAAATGTTCAACCCTCTTTGTGAAAACTAGAAATAATTTAAATACCCAATGACAGGGAAAGTTAACTAAATCCAGACACAACAGAGCCACTAGCAGGAAATACCCCCAGTAATCGTAGAATAAGGATGGCTGCTTTGTTTTTATCCTTTACACATTCCTTTTTCCAAATTCATACCATGAGCAATCTTAAATCAGACAAGAAACACATTTCTTTTCTTCAACAGCAAAATCCATACTCATCTGCTCTGTCAAGCAAGAGGAACATTCAACCAGCTAGCTCAGGTGTTGGCAAAATCCGGCCCACCACTTGGTTTTGTAAATAAAGTTTTACTGAAACACAGCCATGCCCGTATATTTGTTGCCCATTGTTGCCAGGTGGCTGCTTCCCCAGTCCAATAGCAGGGTTGAGTAGTTGCAATAGAGACTGTATAGACTGCAAAGTTTAAAGTTTATTTATTATCTGAGCCTTTGCAAAACAAGATTTGTCACCACCTGAACTAGTGAACATTTCCAGCATCTTTTTAATGAATCAAGTCACATGAAATGGTTTAGAATCCAGAGAACTCTGACATACCTTTCTGGCAGTGGCTGTGTGTCCAGCACCGCTCCACAAATTGTCCGTTGATGACAGTGGCAGGGCAGTTGGTCTTGCCCTTTGCAGTTCCTGGACAAATGTCCCCACACTCCTCATTGTCATCTTTGTTCAGCACGATGTAATTATCCTCCACGGAATCCAGGATGCGAGACCAGTCGATGGTGGCCAGGTAGCAGAGTTCATTGTTCTTCTCGATGCGGACGGAACCCCGCGTGATGTTCATCAGGTTGTAGAGGCCAAGCTCCTTCAGATGAACCATCTCAAAGATGACCAATGCATAGTTAAAGAAGAGGCGCGAGCCTCGGATGACCGTGAGGTTGGGGAACAAGTCCTTCAGGCTCTCCAGTCCATAGACCCGGAAGAGCAGCAAGTAATCAGTGATCATGATGAGTTTGGGGAAACTGAGGTCTCGGAAGTCCTCAGGTCTTGTTTTGAACATCAACAGAATCTGCAAATGTCCTTCAATGACCGAGCAGTTGGCCAGCTCATGCAGCCGGGTGAGATTATTCCGGATATCCATACCGGGGCACACTAGAAGTGCAAACAAGCAGAGAGCAAGACAGGTGAGCAAACATCCCATGGATGGTTTATAAGAATGAGTGGCAGGGCAGCCACGTGGCCATGTGACCTGGGTCCCATGCCTGCTCAGAAGGGCCTTGCCCTGGGCTTAATGTTCTTTCATCCATCTTGAAATCCTTAATCATTTTTGGGTGAGGGGGTCCCAAGATTTCATTCTGCCCTGAACCCCATGGTTTCTATAGCCAGCCCCCATCAGTGGGTTTCTCCGTAAAGTGTCCATGCCTAAGTAATTACTCTCAAAAGGCAAAAAACCTGAATAATAATAATTCCTTTGGCAGTACCTGTTTAGAAACCTTAAAACCATCACATCAAATATGATGCAATGGAGACACTGGGATTACAGGGGGTTGAGTAATGCAGCAGGTGCAGAAGGGGAAAGGGGAGCCGTCCCCAGTGAGTCAATGTGAAACATCTTCAGGAAATGGATTTATGGGGATAAAGGTGCCCACATCAGAAATGGGGCAAGGAGACCTGGCTGTGTTTTGTCAATTCTCTCATTTTCCTGACTCTCCTTCCCAACCTGCCCTCCTGGCAGGCAGCCACAGTCTAATTACCTTTTATCCAAGTGTGTCAAGGGCTTCCCAGAGTCTGATCTCCCCAGTACAAACACCTGCACATCTATTCTCCTGCAGTGGGTCTCTCCCTTGCTCTGACATCCTCTATGGCTCCCCTGCACTTTCCCTCTCACAGCTCTCAAGGTTCTGCCCCTCCATCCCCTGCACCATGTAAAACATGGCCTGTCCACTACTCTCCAATTACAAGAGGGTCTTCCAAACCCCACCCCACCCATTACATGACCTATGAAGAGAAGGGAATGAAATAATGCAGACACCCAAGCAGTAACTAGCACACAGTTGGTGCTCAATTAATGTCAGCTATTTTGTTGTTGTTTATTTCTCCCAAACACATCACGGTGTCACCTCTAGGCTCTGTGCTTTCATCCCCCTAGACCAGGGCAGGCAAATATTTTCTATAAAGGTTCAGATAGTAAATACATTCTGCTTTGCGGTCAGTCTCTGTTTAGACTATTCCACTCTGTCGTTACAGCTCAAAAGCAGCCCAGAGACCACTAGTGGCTATGGCTGTGTTCCAATAAACCTTTATTATAAAAGCAGGCTGTGGGCTGGTGTTTTCCCTTGAGATGGTAGTCTGGTGACCCCTGCCTTACTCTGACAAAGTCCAACGGCACTTCTGCAACAATAGAGATGTTCTACATATGTGCTGGTCATATGGAAGCCACCGGCCATTCGTGGTTGTCAAGCACTTGAAATGTGGCTTATATAAGACTGAGGAGCTGGGTATTTGATTTCACTTTAGTTAGTATTAATGGAAATAGACATGTGCAGCAAGTGGCCACTGTTCTGAATACAGTAGCTTGAGTCCCTTTGACTGTGAAAGTTCTTTACACCTTAGCTCCCTACTTTGAAATCCAGCTCATCATCCTTCAAGATCTAGTTCAGAGGCCACCTCCTCCAGGAAGGCTTCTCTGATTTCCTTTCCTCCATATACTTATTTAGATCTTTCCCTCCTCCTGTGTTTCTTATACTGGAGTTAACATTCATCAGATGTGAACTCCTTAGACAGCCTCTCCTTGCCAAAACACACACACTCACTCAGTCAGAGGTTGGGAGGCACCATCGAGAGGACTAGGATGTCAGTTCCAACACCACACACTCATGCCACCCAAGCCTCGTCTACGGTTCCCAGCTTCAGTCACATCAACAGCATCTACACACAGAGGTCTGTCCAGACAGGTACCGCACCTTGATCCCTCCCAACAGGCTCCATGTGCACCCCACAGATGAGAAAACTCTGAGAGGCAAAGCCAGTCAGCCAAGGACATATGACCTACCAGTAACACTCAAGGTTGCCAGATTTAGCAAATAAAAATGAAGGACAGGGCTTCCCTGGTGGCTCAGTGGTAAAGAGTCCACCATCTAATGCAGGAGACACGGGTTCCATCCCTGGTACAGGATGATCCCACATGCCTTGGAGCAGCTAAGCCCCCATACGCCACAACTATTGAGCATGTGCCCTAGAGCCCAGGAGCTGCAACTACTGAAGCCCAAGCACCCTAGAGCCTGTGCCCTGCAACAAGAGAAGCCACTGCGATGAGAAGCCCTTGAACTGCAACTGGAGAGTAGCCCCCACTCACTGCAACTGGAGAAAAGCCCGAGCAGGAATGAAGACCCAGCACAGTCATAAATTAGTTAATTAAAAATTTAGAAAAAAATGCAGAAAGCCCAGTTAAATTTGAATTTCAGATAAGCAAGGAGTACTTTTTAGGTAAGCCTGCAATGTTTGGGACATACTTATCCTTAAAAATTACTCATTGTTTATAGTAAATTCAAATTTAACTTGGTGTCCTGTACTATATCTGGCAGTGTACTTAGACTTGGTCACAGGTCTGGGCTTCTCAAGCCTGAGCCTCATAACTCTATGTTACCTGCACACACACACACACACACACACACACACACACACACTTGTGAAATTGGTGCAGATCCAAAAACACCATCCTTCCCAAGTTGTGGGAGAAATCAGATATGAACATGCATTCAAAGATTAACCAGTTGTTGAACATCATGGAAATGTAAATCCACATCAAAAATCCACATCATGGAAATGTAAATCCACAGTGAGATACCACTTCACTCCGACCAGCATGGCTAAAATTAAAAAGACAGACAATAACAATAGTTGACACAGAAGTGGAGAAATTAAAACCCTTGTACATTACTGGTGGGAATGGAAAATGGTTCAGCTGCTGTTGTGGAAAATAGTCTCGTAGCCCCTCAAAAGATTAAGCAAAGAGTTACCATAGAACCCAGAAACTTCATTCCTAGGTGAAATGAAAACATAGGTCCAACCAGAAATGTGTGTACAAATGTCCATAGGATCATTATTTATGATAACCAACAAGGGAGAAACAAGCCAACATTACATGTCCATGAAATGTAGCAAGTCCATACAGAGGAAGATTGTTCAACAATAACAGAGGAGAAAACCCTGACACTAGCTACAAAAGGGATGAACCTTGAAAACATGACGCTCAGTGAAAGAAACCAGTCACAAAAGACCACATGTGGAGTGATTCCATTTACATGAAATATCTAGAATAGGCAAATCCATAGAAAGTAGATTAGTGGTTTCAAGGGGTTCAAGAGAGGGAAATGCGGAGTGACAGATAAAAAGTATGGGATTTCTTTGGGAGGACTTATGAAAATGTTCTAAATTGATATTGATGGTTGCCCAATTCTGTGAATGTACTAATGTACGAAGAACCTCTAAATGGTAAATTTTAAATAGGTGAATTGTATGGTATTTAATTAGCTCTCAATAAAGTTGTTGTTGAAAAATTAAATGACTATAACTACCCGGGACAACAAAGAATTGCTTTACTTTTTAATCTCCAGTGACTCTAACTCAAGTCATTAAAGCCATAGTGGTGGTGGTCATTGCTGAGTTGCTCAGTCATGTCCGACTCTTTGCTACCCCATGGACTGCAGCCCACCAGGCTCCTCTGTCCACGGGATCTCCCAGGCAAGGATACTGGAGTGGATTGCCATTTTCTTCTCCTCATTAAAGCCGTATGTGTCCCTATTAGTATAAGACAATAGAGCAATTTACTGCAGGGACAGAAAATACCCAGAGGATGTTAGAAGTAGTGCCAGCAATATATGTAGGACCCTGCACTGGTTTTTAATACCTCTGGGTGGGAAACTTAAGGATGCTTCAGGCCCTCAGTAAGTGGCAGCTGGTTAACCATCACTCCACACACAGATAGGGAAGGACCACGGGGATTGGGGAGGAGGGCAGTCCTGGTGACAGCCAACACACTCACTGTGTGAAGCACTTGGCCATGTTCTGGCAGACACGTTCTCTCTCTCTTTTTTAAATTATTTACTTGATTTTTGGTTCCATTCCGTCTTCATTGCTTTGCACGGGCTTTCTCTAGTTGTGGTGACCAGGGGCTACTCTCTAGTTGCAGTGCTCAGGCTTCTCATTGCAGTGGCTTCTATTGTTGCAGACACAGACTTAGGCCCACGGCCTCAGCAGTTGCAGCTCTGAGGCTCTAAAGCTGGGGCTCTGTAATTGTGGCACTCGAGTTTAGTTGCCCTGGGGCATGTGAAATCTTCCCAGACCAGGGATCGAACCCGTATTCCCTGCACTGGCAGGCGGATTCTTATCTACTATACCACTAGGGAAGTCCTCCCTTGATGAATTCTAAAACTAATCCCAGAGGAAGTAGATAAACAAAATGGTCCATGCTCATTTTTGTGACGAGCAAAATTCAAGATTCACACAGAATGAGTGGTAAGGGGTAACTGAGATTTCAATCCAGCAATTAAAAGCAAACTTTGTGCTGTAACTATGTTATAGTTTCTCCACTTCTGTTTTTTCAAAAACATACCTAATGAAGAAGCAGGTGAATGCGACTTAAATAAGAAACAATGAAACAATGTCCATGCGGTGACAACCCCGAGGAGGCTTGCTAAAGACGGTTTTCTTCGTTCACTCCTGCAGCACCTATCTGCTGAAAACCTGTTTCCACTGTTCCAAGGACTGGATATGCTTAAAAGAATAGGATACAGGCTGCCCTGGGTCTCAGAGACTATAGTTGCTATTAACTACTCAAATCAACTGAAGGTATAACTGAGGAGGATATCTCAGTTAGTTAAGGACAGCATCAAAGGCTAGAAGAAATCATAAAAAAACAAGCTACTTGACTAAGCCTAGGACAGTCAAGGAGGGCTTCCCAGAGGAGGTGACACCAGGACTAAAACCTACACAAACAGAGCAATAAGAATTATTCTGTTCTGCCTACTTCATTGGAAGGTCAAGAGTGACAGCAAGCTACAGCCCATCGCTGTAGGTCACCAGGGTGTGTAGGGTCTAAAATAGCCTTCTCTGACAAAAACATGATAGAATTTTAAATTTTATCTAAAAAA